GCGCCCGTGAAATCGGATTATCCTTAGGCTTGCAGGCTGGACGGGGTTAACCAGACTGCATTCCTTTTCATTGCTTTCCTTTTGCTTTACCTCACAGCCCAGTGACGGTATCAACTGCTGTCTGCTAGCAAAAAGAATGCACAGAAATGCATATGCGGGAAGCTTGGCAGTTTGAAACATCGCATCTGAAAGAGGTACCTATACAGATTGGTACAAAGCATCCCCCAGACCCTATAGGCTGTGTCTAAGATCTCCCACCTGCCCTGGGGCCCTGCAATGCAGGGGCAGCCCTACACTTACCTTCACGTCCTGCTGGCCCTGTAGCTGGAGAAGTTCCCCACGAGCATTTCTTCTTCAGTTCCAGCTGCTGTGTGCGCTCTATGGATCTGCGCATCATCGCCTCCAGCCGTTCCTGCCCAGTTCATGCAAGGGAAAGCAAGATTAACCACCAGCCTCTCAGCACTGCCGCACCTCAGTGCTGGGGTGAGTCACCAAGTGGAGCTCTGTGCTCAGCATCCAAAACCTAGGCACACGTGCTCTCTGCCACACCAGGCGCTTCTCAGTGGGTGGAGAGTAAACAATGCAGCTGGTGCAGCTTTCTGCCCCAACACCTCATCCTTGGGCGAGGCTGCCGCATCCAGGCCTTGATTTGTTTAAGAATAATGCCAGACAAGCATTAACCCCTTGAGGCCTGTCTCAAGTCCCGGTTTGCCCCACCTAGCAGGAGAACTGGAATTGTGCTCTAGAACCAACCAAATGCTCTCTAGTTGAAAATGCATGAAGTGTTCTGATTTGCAAAGACTTAAATTTAAATATTATTTGAATTTTATAACCTTAAGCCTAACTTTTTGAGGGTGATACATGACTTTGAGATCTATTTTGCATTTTTATGTCAGAGCTTCTTAAAGGGGAATCAATCGTTTTCCACATTGTAACACTTTTCTGCTACGCAATTATCTGAGGGTAATGCTACATATTTCAAATTTTATTTTTTATTTTAATTATTAATTTTTGATTACAAATTTTGGGGGTGACATTAATAAAACCAAATAAGTTTCAAGCATACAATTAAACAGTGTGTCGTATGTATACTACATTGTGTGTTCACCACCGAAAGTTAGATTTCCTTCCGTCACCAAATATTTGACCCCCATATTTCGAAATTTAAGAGAGACAAGAGTAGGGAACCTTATAGCGACAAAAAAAGAAAACATCTGTGCATTTTCAGACTTAGATGAGAGAAGAACTAAACAGATTTTAGCCAGAAGAGTAAAACAACAAGCAGCCTTCTCTTTTAACAGAGCCTTTATCAAAAGCCCTCCCCTTCCCGCTGTTTTACCCCAATTGTCACTTTCATGACGTTGAGCCTGGCTGGTGGCAAATACTTCCCTGGCATTGGAGTTCCAGTTCTGCACTCCTTACTGCTCCAATGACACGGCAAATACCAAACCCTCTCCCTGCCTCCACTGGAGCAGACCAAAGCAAGGTAAACGGTTACACTGATACCCTTTGGCCCCCATAAAACCCACCACGAGGTGCTTCGGGAACTGGGCTAATCATAGCCCACCTCCAAAGCAAAAAGATAACTCTTTTCTCATGGCTTAAATAAACAAGCCAAATTAAGTTAGGGCAGCACCGACTGAGTAGCTGTGACTTAAGGATTGGGGAAAGGCTCCCTTATTCCACTTACTAGAAACAGAGAAAGGTCACTTAGGAGGGACCTGGATCTATCCCTTTGTCAACGCCAAAGGGATGGGAGGAGCATTCTCCCCATCTCAGCCTCATCTGCATAATTTCTCTTTGAATAGCACATTGCTAAGAGGCAGCCTCTCCAGGGACCTGTGAGCAGAAAAGGGATTTGTATTTGCTCTCGATTTTGGCTGAGGCCCTATAATCATGAGTGTGCGCTTCCTGGCAGAGTCCTGTCGTCACAACCCTGGCTCAGCAAATTCTGACGGCCAAGCCTGGGGGTCTGCCTGAGAAAAGTTGGGGGTGTGGACGGACTAGAACTTGACTATTAGACACTTGAAGTGTGGTCACTTTGAGACTAGAGCTGAATAGTAACTTCATTGTATGGATCTAACATAAAGTATTTAACCGATAACCTAATTTAAATGTTCAAACCGTTCACCTCAGAGTGAATTTACTATTGAGAGGGTTCTGAGAGATTTCCTGCATGCTAAAAGGACATCACAAGGTAGTCCCTTGTCTGCCAATGAAAAATAAGAATACCAAGATTCGTCAAGCCAACCTTACCACCGAGTAGCTATCTAGGGGCATAATTAGAAGGGAATGCTCACCCAAAGCCAGACCTACTCCTGGACTGATCGGCTACCTCTCCATCCAACCCCAATCCACTGAGCTCTTCTAAATTCCACCATTAGAAATTCATTCCTCTGAACCATAAGTAGGATTATAAAAATGAAGCTATCCCTAAGAGAAGATACAATCACTTTGTGTCACCCACGTTTGGACAGATGATGAAAAATAGGTGGTAACCAAGGGACTATGGAACTCAGAGTCGTCAGAATGGGGTGATTCAAACATGTCAAAATCAAAACTGGCCCACTTCACTCTTGTTAGTGGTTAATCCCACATAGGTCAGTATGTGTGTGTGTGTGTGTGTGTGTGTGTCTTTCTGTTCCTTCATGTGATGGAATGAAAAGAATCCTGGCTTTGGAGGGGAGATATGGATTCAAAACCCACCTCTGTCTGCTGCCTTTTAGCCTTGTAACCTCCGTTTAACATCTGCCTTTTAGCCTTGTAACCTCTGTTTAACATCACTGGGCATCAGTTTCCTACTGTATAAAATGGGGATATTACGTACATCAGCAGACCACCCAAGTCTGCAAGATAAGGACTAGCATAATAAGTCCTGAGCCAATGCTAACTGAACCCAAATTTGAAGAGGAAGATTAACAACAGGGCAGTTTAGAGCAGTGGTTCCCAAACTAGAGTGAGCCTGCATCAGAATCCCCTGGATGGCCCACAGTACCACTGCTGGGCCCGGCCCGCAGAATTTCAGATTCTGTAGGTCTGAGGTGAAGCCTGCTGAGAATGTGCATTTCTGACAGGTTCCCAGATGATGCTGGTGCTGCTGGTCCTGGGGCTGCGCTGCGGGAAGCACTGCTTAGAGGGAAGGCTGAGCATGAGAGAGCGTCTGAGAAAGTTCGGTCACATCAGAAGAATAGTATTAATAAATATTAGGGTTGCATACTGCATAAACAGTTCCTGCCAAGCTCTGGTTCTCCTGATGATTGACAGAGGATGGATAAAGGGCAAGGCAGATTCTCGTCCCTAGAATGTCCTCTTTTGGGTGGTGCTTAGTAGAAGGAAGGAACCAGGAGAATCCCACTCTTGACCCCTTGAGCTCTGGCCCTAGATCTGCCTGGATGAACCCAGAAGAGAATCATGACCAAGGTGACCCACTGAGCTGGCCGAAGCAGCATAAAAGGCCTCCGGCAAGGCACGGCCCAGACACTGCTACCCAGACAGCCAGCTCTGGTAGGAGTGGAGGGCTGGCTGTGTCTTTTCCGGTGCCCTTATTATGCACACGTTCTGGGGATGACAATGTGGGACAAGGCCCCAAATGGTCCTCAGCATGGTTCTGTAGAGGATCTTTCTCTCTTCTAACAGACACCCACATCTGACCAGAAAGGCCAGGTAGTCATCATGTCCCCACGACAGCTGATGCCCTCTGGGAGAGGCCGGCTCGCAGCTTAGTGAAGCTTTTGTTAAGTTCAGAAATTTCTCATTTTTATACTCAGCCTGGTGGGTCTTGTAAGGTATCAAGCAATAAGAATGTGTGAAGTTGTAATGTGTCGAAATATCTTGTAGGGATGAAGCTTCTCTCTGAAAGAGGCCTTCCCTGGGTACCTGTTTAGCAGAGGAATGTGCAGTTGGCTTTCCTAGATCTCATTTTCCAGGGCCTCTAGTCAGGAGGCTATACTCCCCAAGTGGGCAAAAGATGAGAACATTGTGTTGTCAGCCCTAAGTCGGGGAGGTGACAAGGGCTTGTTCCAGAAGCTCGATTCCTGGGGCATGTGAGGGTCGGAGGCACCCACCTTAAGGATAAGGCGGCCTATAGTGAGAGAATGAGCTCAGAGTCAGGGTGTCAAGTGGACACTGGAAACAGCCCTGCTTCTCCAGGGCAGGCCTGACCAACCTCCAGCCCTCAAGACCTCTGGGAGCCAGGCCGTCTGTGTTGACCACCTCTGTGTTGGCAGACAAGATGCCTCCTGGCCGAGTTGAGGGCTCGCCCGCACAGCTGTGAAGAGCTACCAAGAGCAACATCATGGCTGCCCTAGGGACATGGAGCCAGAACAGGGCTGGGGGAGGCGGGGAGTCGGCAGGCCTTTTATGAGCTCTAATATCAGCTCTACAGAGGTAGGACTTGATGGGGCGACCCAAACACTTTCCGACAAGCTAGAGAAGCAAAATGGGCTGTGATGGAATGAACGTCTTCCAGCAGAGGCTTCACCCTGGTTGACAAGACAGAGTGTCACCAAAAGAAGTGAAATCAGCCACTGGGAAGAAAATGAATCTCCACAGCCATGCGCCAAGCAGGCAGCAGCCCTTCCAAAAATCTCCAGTGAACCATGGGGGCAAATGCAGAGGGTTTTCTGAGGAAAGGGGCTCATGCAGTGTAGGCTTATCCGTTCTTTCCAAACATCACTCATGAGAATGCCAAACAGGCCTGTGCGTGGGCAGAGCGCCAAAGCTTATGTGGTTAACACGCCAGCCTGCGTATGGAAAGTCCCTAAGCTCTACCTAGGTCTCCCAGGGGGCCGTGAGGGTGGGAGCAGGTGGCAGAAGGAGCCTGCAGCTTCCTTGCGTTGCTACACGACCACGGGAGGCCCAGCTCTCAGTCCTGCCCCGTTGTGTCCAGGGAGAAGAGGGAAGGAAGCCTGGCTTGTGTCTGTGCCGACGAGGACCGGATGACATCTCTCCTTCCCTGCCATCGTCATGTTAGGAATAAACGGGAGCACGCGAAGCAAAGAAAAAATGATCTGGAGGCGCAACCACGAGATTCAGCTGCATCAGGACCAACCACCTGGCATGACATTCTCTCATCTGCAAGAGGAGGGAGTCTGATAGCTTGATTTAAAATGCTTCCGGCATTACTGTTTAATAAAGAAAAATTACAGACAGGGAGTGCCTCAAAGGCGAACCTCTGTGACACTGTCAGGTGTGTCAGAGGCTCCGGAAGTGTCTCTCATGACTACATAGCACCCCCTCCCTTCCTGGAAGCAGCAGTGACACACTCGCTCTGGAATCAGCAATCCCGCAGGATGTCAGTAATCAAAATGGAGAGACCAGGGACAAAGGGGATAAGCTGTGAGTCAAGGATTGGAGGATGGGAAGAACACAGGAGAGTCCGGTGACTCAGGACAAATACATACGGGCTGGGAACGGGGAGACTGGTCCCAGGTTACTGCAGCAGCCTAGCACACTGTGGCTTTTTTCTTAGTCTGTAGACTGTGCCATAACCTTTTCTGGGTAGTTCCCTTTTGACCTTCTTTCAGACAAGGTCAGCTGAAGTCACTGAAGGGTCTTGAACATTTCTGACCATTACACTGTGCTAGGTGCTCTGCTGGGCACTTTCATAAAAGTCACCTCCTTTAATTCCTGTGAGCACTTCTGTTTTGGGCTAAAGAGACTGAGTTAGAGGGTTATGAGGGGCTTTGTGACTTGCCGCTAGTTATCGGCTATCTAGTGGTAGAACTGAGATTTGCACAGGGAACGGATGAAGCCACACAGTGATCGGGATGCACCTAGCAACAGCGCACTGTGGCTAAGAACCCTGCTTAGACCTTCATTTGCTAAGAGGAACAAAGAAATCTCCGTGTAAATGAATGCTTTGTGGGCAGAGATAGGTGTAATTGTGTGTGCGCGTGCGCACATTCATGTTTTTTTAAATTGAAAAAAAAAAAGAGGAAGAGGTAAAGACATATCATGATAAACCATTCGGAGATTAAAAAATACTGAGTTTATACAAATGTTTCTGTATCCTATAGTGTTGGCGACTAACAAGCCTCTATATTGTTTACACTAAATGATGAGTCATTATACCTTATGAATAAAATATGATCATCACCTGATACAAGGCTACGATTACGTCCTTAAAATATACTTGTTAAGAAAATGTACACTCCAAATATGCTTTCTAAATATATTTTCAAAGTTTAGTAATAAAGGACTCTGCAGAGCTAATTACATTCCATTTCTTTTTTGAAAGGTAACTGGAGAGAAAGGTTGATTAAAGCAAGGAACTGCATTAAAACTTAAATATACTGGCATCTTTGTACGTGAAGGTAGACTACTTGATTTTCCAGTGGTAAATAACGGATCAAGTTCTCTTCTATCCTCACAGCCCTTCCTCTGGCCTCATGTCTGCCCTGCAGGCACGGACCCCCAGCTTAACCCCCAGGCCTGCATCACCCAGCCCCTGTCCACGATCCCCTTCAGGTCCTAGAGTCAGAGAAGGT